TGTAACACCCCGAGATTCAGGTGCGTTTCTTTTACCCTTATTCTTTGTCATTAGTCATGATTAGCCCTTGTGTGGAGAAAACTTAGCAAGTGAGTACGTTGGGCGTACCAAAGGGGTACGTTGCGCGTACTCGTGTTCTTAGTTTGGACGCGAAATCACCAAGGTACGCTGGGCGTACCCAGAGTTACGCCGGGCGTACCCGGCCCAGGTGCAAATCCCTAATCCGTCTTGTGCACTATTTAAAGGGTGCTAAGGCTCATTTCTCAGGCTCCATAACAGTAAGTGAAACCCTAAAAGAGAGCTTCCCACCATCCTTAGTGTGTGTGAGTGTTATTGGAGCTAATTGTGCTATGGTGACTTAGTAAAGAAGAAGGAAAGGAGTTCTTGGAAGCTAAAGCTAAGGGGCTGAAGCTGGGGAGTACGTCGGGCGTAATCCCAGTACGCACCGCGTACTGGGTGGTGTTCCCCCGATCATGAGATGCAGCCGGGTACGCTCAGTGTACACATCTGGTACGCGCAGTGTAACCCGGAAAGTTGAATTTTGGGTTGACTTTTAGGGTATGGTCTATTGTGGGGCCTTTTGAGTTGTGAGAGGGGTAAAATGGTCTTTTACCCTTCTGAGAGTGTCATAAGAGCACATAGTCTAGCCTTTGAGAGTTATAATAATTAGGGTTTTTATTTTATATGATTAGGCGGAGGTTAGACCAGCGTTACCGAGTCAGAGATTACCGAGATACCCGAGGTGAGTCTTCTCACTATACTTTACTAAGTGTGGTAACAGAGTTATGTGATAGAGTATTTTTAGAGTTATATGCCAGTGTAATTGCATTTTATTTATGTGCTATGATTTATTGTGATATGTGCTATGCATGATTCAGAGTTACAGAGTTAGGACCTTCGGGTCCACAGAGTTAGGGCCAGAGGGCCCATAGAGAGTTGGGGCTGGAGGGCCCCACTGAGACACATAGACCTGAGGGTCAATAGAGTTACAACCTCGAGAGGCTATTATGTGTTAGAGTGGTATTTTGGGGAACTCACTAAGCATTTATGCTTACAGTGTTATGTGTCATGTGTTTCAGGTACCAGTGATGATCGCGGGAAGGCGCTGACATGACTCGTACACACGCACACCGGAGTTTATGTATTTTGATCTTGGGTTTTGTACTGATAAAATGTTGACATAATGTTTTTTATTTATGATTACAAATGATATTTTATGAATGTTCAAAAGTGAAAATTGTTCAAATTTTTAAGGTGTTACCTGATCTTAGTAGAACCTAGTGCTTTCCAATAGTGAAATTGATATAATTATATGGTTAGAAATTCAACACCGATAACCTCCCTTTCTAATGAACCATACGAAATTTAATGATCCTGAAATATTAGGCAATTAGTGTGTTTATAGTCTAAAACCAAAAGAAAACGTAAATAAGTTGTCATCTTATTTCATAACTGAGAACTCTGAAACCCAAATCTAAATTCCACCCGATTAGGCATTGATGAAATAAAAAAGTTAATTGTTGAAAAATTAATTGATTTCAGAAATTAACCAAACAAACCTAAAGCAAATCACTCATAAGATTATATCAGGAATGGAACAAATAGAGAATAGATGGGAAAATTGGATGGATCGATGAATGGGGTGATTTGATGCAGGAGATGGATATGGCATTTATGAAGGAGTCGAAGGTTGGAGCCTGGACGACACTTTTGTTTGTGCTCCATCATTGATCAGAAGATACAAAGGTTTGAAGAAATTGATTGAAGTAATGACCGATTACATTCGACCTTTTGTATAGCGATGACAATTAGCGATTGAAGAGGGAAAATAAGGAGGAGAGCTGAAAATGAATTGTGGGTTGTAGAATGTGGGAGGTGGGCAGTTCGTCGATTGAGGCAGAAAAAACTTCAGATCATTATATACGCCACATAAACGAATAGTGAACATGGGGAAGAAGAAGGAAATGTGAGGAGGAGCTGAAACCTCCGATTAACCAGAAATACAGAATTATTACAATCCAGATTGAAAGTTTGAGAGTTTGAAGGGCTAAGAGGTTTTTCACTCTCAACAATAGTTTAAAGAATTTTATATGTACAATCAAAGCCAAACATTTTTTTAAAAATTATTTTTTAAGGGAAAATGACTCTTGAGGGTAATTAACTTTTGCGTTTGTACTCATTTGGTCCCTTTCCTTTTTTTGTATTCAATATACCATCGAACTTGTTGTTTGTGTTCACCATAACCCTTTTGACCGACTTTTGACCTGTGATCGCCGGTCAAAGGGTTATGGTGAACACAAATAATAAGTTCGATGGTATATTGAGTACAAAAAATGGACCAAATGAGAACAAATGCAACAGTTGGTTACCCTCCTGATTCATTTTCCCTTTACTCATTTACACCAAATCCCACGTCATCTCCTACTGATATTTAATGACTTTATGTAACACCCCAAGATTCAGGTATACTTCTTTCATCCTTGTTCTTTGTGGTTTGGTAATGTTTAGTCCTTGAGAGAAGTTTTCTTTAGCAAGTGAGTACGCTGGGCGTACCAGATGGGTACAATGCGCGTACTCATGCACTTAATTTGGACACGATGTTGCCAAGGTACGCTGGGCGTACCCGGCCCAGGTGAAAACCCTAATTCCGTCTTGTACACTATTTAAAGGGTGCTAAGGCTCATTTTTCAGCCTCCATATTAGTGAGTGAAACCCTAAAAGAGAGCCCCCATTGTCCTTAGTGTGTGAGAGTGTTGATTGGAGCTTTTTGTGTTTTGGTGACTTACTGAAGGAGAAGGAAAGGAGTTCTTGGAAGCTAAAGCTTGAGGTGCCATTTTGGATCTGAGATCTACAGAGAAAAGGGCTACACTTGGAGGTATAAATTTCAAAACTTTCCTCTTCTTTTGATTGTTGTTGCATGTGCCATTTCTAGGGCTAAAACCCAAAGGTGGAGACTTTATGAGTTTAAAGTGCTCCATGGTCCGAGATCTGTCCCTTTTCAGTGGTATTAGTGATTTAGAACCATAAAGTTGCCATCTTGGATGTTAGTTTGAGATCATGCTTGTGTAATAAGCCTTCTAGAGTTAAAGGATGGAACATTGTGAGAGTTGGTGACTTATCCAGCCATGCAAAGGCATAAAGTCATCAACTTTATGGATTAAGAGGCTTAGATGTGGTCGGATCTAGAATTTGGACGTGAGTCTTAACTGTTTAAGCCCTAAAGAGTTAAAGGGTTGAAGTTGGGGAGTACGCCGGGCGTAATCCCAGTACGCGCCACATAATGGGTGGCATTCCCCGGTCCTGAGAGGCAGTCGGGTACGCCCAACGTACACATCTGGTACGCGCAGCGTAACCCGGAAAGTTGACTTTTGAGTTGAATTTTAGGGTATGGTCTATTGTGGGGCTTTTGGGTTGTGAGAGGGGTAAAATGGTCTTTTACCCTTCTAATAGTGTCATAAGAGGACATAGTCTAGCCTTTGAGAGTTATAATAATTAGAGTATTTATTTTATATGATTAGGCGGAGGTTAGACCAGCGTTACCGAGTCAGAAATTACCGAGATACCCGAGATGAGTCTTCTCACTATACTTTACCTAGTGTGGTAACAGAGTTATGAGATAGAGTATTTTAGAGTTATATGTCAGTGTAATTGCATATTAATTATGTGCTATGATTTATTGTGATATATGCTATGCATGATTCAGAGTTACAGAGTTAGGACCTTCGGGTCCACAGAGTTAGGGCCAGAGGGCCTATAGAGAGTTGGGGCTGGAGGGCCCCACTAAGACACATAGACCTGAGGGTCAACAGAGTTACAGCCTCGAGTGGCTATTATGTGTTAGAGTGGTATTTTGGGGAATTCACTAAGCATTTATGCTTACAGTGTTATGTGTTATGTGTTTCAGGTACCAGTGATGATCGCGGGAAGGCGCCAACATGATTTGTACACACACATGGGATTTTATTTATTTGATCTTGGGATATTTTTGTGAAACAAAAGACATGATACTATGGCATTTTATGAATGAATGAATTTGTGAAAATGTGTTTGAAAATGCGAAAAATTGTTTTAATTTTTACGGTGTTACACTTTATGAGATTCATTCTTGCTTTTCTTCAAAACATAACATACGAAAGAACATTATTCATACATGTACAACTTTGTAATGTACTTGAATATTTATTAGGGGAATCTTGACTAAGCAGGCGCATTTCATGACTACATTTACATTTCCAATCAAATGATTTATCGTATCATGGATTCTAGACAAGTCTACAAACGAGTGGAATCACAAGTACTGTGATTTTTGAGTTTACTTAGCTTTAAGATCGAATTCATAGGATAAGATACAATCTCAATATATACAATATCATGATGCTTTTGTAGACACATCACCAAAATATACCTTGAGGTCAACGTTTATGTTAATAAATATACATCTCATACACAGTCATATCCTTTTGCAGAGAGGTGTTGACAGCTAACCACAGTAAGCATAACATAGACCATGTTTTAACAAGGTTACCCCTTTGAAACGCTCTTCATATATGTTATAGCCAAAGATGGTTGCGGTCTTTGATAATTTTGCAACTTTCATTGCATTTAACTTTTCGGGGAAAATGTCTCAGGAGGGTAACCAACTATTGAGTTCGTTCTCATTTGGTCTTTTTTTTTTGTTTTTTTTTTGTACTCAATATACCATCGAACTTGTTGTTTGTGTTCACCATAACCCTTTGATCGGCCATCACAAGTCAAAAGCCGATCAAAAAAGTTATGGTGAACGCAAACAACAAGTTCGATGTTATTTGAATACAAAAAAAAGGAAAGAGACCAAATGAGTACAAACGCAAAAATTAATTACCCTCAAGAGTCGTTTTCCTTTTTTTTTAAACTTATTTAAAAAAAAATCATAAATCAATAAGAGTTATTTTTTATTTTTATTTTTTCCCTAAAAACACTTTTAGCAACCCAATCCACCCTAATTGAGCAACCCAAAAACCCTCTGACTAAAAAAAGTGGGTTTTAAACGAGACTGAGATAATAATAGTTGACCTAGTTTTTCAAAAATTCCCCAGGGAATCATATTGATATTGTAGTAAATCAAATCGACCCAAAATCCTCGTTCTTTTGTTCAAATTGAAGTCGGTTCTATAAAAGTTTCAAATGGCGAACCTCCCAATTCTACAATTTGAAGACAAGATATTAGAAACCGTGGATCACAATCCAGTAGTGGTGGTAATTGGTGAGACGGGTTCAGGGAAGAGCACACAACTCTCTCAGATTTTACACAGAAGCGGCTACACGAAGGCCGGAATCATCGCCGTCACCCAGCCACGCCGTGTCGCCGCCGTATCTGTTTCTAGGTAATCATATTCTCAGTGATCGAACATCAGCATGTGATTCATTATATAGACCTTATTTAACACCACTCATGGCTTTTTGAATTCCGTTTCAATGGTCACTCCCAACTTCTCCATTGAGGTAAACAATTCAGAAAATGCGGTTTTTGTTAAGAAAATAATATTGTTTTGCTTTTGTTTCTGACATGGACAACAGAAGGGTTGCACAGGAGCTTGGTGTCCGACTGGGTGATGAAGTTGGTTATGCCATAAGATTCGAGGACAGAACTTCAGAGAGAACTTGTATTAAGTAAACTAATGCCATTATCTACGTCTACCTCTGGCAAGTGATACTGATTTCTAATGATAAATTATACTCTGGTTTGACCAGGTATCTTACTGATGGAGTACTCCTCCGTGAAAGCCTTTCTGACCCTGAGCTCAAACAATATTCTGTTGTCATATTAGATGAGGCTCATGAAAGGAGTCTAAACACGTAAGACCTCATACTTTATCCCATAACTTAACCCTTAAATGTAAAGCTAACGAGCCATTTTCATATAGGGATATATTAATGGGGCTGATGAAAAGGTTGATTAGACTGCGTGCTTCCAATTTGAAAGTTTTGATCACTTCAGCTACTCTTGATGGTGAAAAGGTGTCAAGATTTTTCTCTGATTGCCCAGTCCTAAATGTTCCTGGGAAATTGTTTCCTGTAGAAATATTATATAGTGCAGAACAACCCAAAAGTTATATAGAATCATCTCTGAAAAAAGCTATTGGTAAGCACTGAATTTATTCTCCTTCATTGTTATTAAAACTTGTTGGACTCTTATAATGGTGAACCAATATTGTTGCAGACATACACGTTAATGAGCCAGAAGGGGACATTTTGATATTTATGACTGGGCAGGTAATTCAAATTTCATGTCTTAGCATATCTATATTTCTGTTGTAATAGTTGATGTTCTTCTATATTTTAATTAAAAAGTGATGGGGTTCTATTAGGATGACATAGAGAAATTGGTATCAAAACTGGAGGAAAGAATTCAAAGCCTTGAAGTAGGGTCCTGTATGGATGCCATAGTCCTGCCACTTCATGGTTCATTGCCACCTGAAATGCAGGCGAGTAGTGTTTATTTATCCATCCATCAAATAACTTTTTTTATAATAACTAATGGTGTGTGATTTATAAACTATAGGTACGAGTGTTTAATCCTCCACCTCCAAACTGTAGGCGTTTCATTGTTGCAACAAACATTGCTGAAACTTCCTTGACTGTTGATGGTGTTGTGTAAGAAAATCTATAAAACTTTCAAGAAACTTTGTTATCATGTCAAATTGTCAATATTTCTATTATTCTAATTAATCATCTCTAATTTAGGTATGTTATAGACTCTGGATATGTGAAGCAGCGACAGTATAATCCATCAAGTGGAATGTATTCTCTTGATGTTGTTCAGATTAGCAGGTAATAAATAATGTATATTATATATTCTTGAAGGTAGATTTAAAAAAAAAAAAAAAAAAAAAAAAAAAAACTTTATTAAAAATGCAGGGTGCAGGCTAACCAACGGGCAGGTCGGGCAGGAAGAACACGACCCGGGAAGTGTTATCGGTTATACCCGTTGGCTGTTTACCAAGACAATTTATTGGAAGCCACTGTTCCTGAAATACAACGTTCTTCTTTAGCTGGAAGTGTTCTTTATTTAAAATCTTTGGATCTTCCAGATATTGATATTCTTAAATTTGACTTTCTTGATGCACCTTCGCATGAGTCTTTGCAAGATGCTCTTAAACAGTTGTTTCTGATTGATGCTTTAGATGAGAATGGGACTATTACGCCTATAGGAAAAACAATGTCAGGTATTTCATTTTCTTTTTTTAACTGGATCCATATGATGATTGCTGAATTGAAACAATATACTGAAATTTTGACTTTTTGATAGAGCTTCCTTTGGAACCTTCACTTGCAAGGACTTTAATTGAGGCAAATGAATATGGTTGTTTATCTCAAGCTTTGAGTGTAGCTGCTATGTTATCAGTGGAAGGTACATTGCTTCCTGGACGAAGGTAATACTTATTCAAACATGTTATTAAAAAAAAATCTTCACTATTTTGTAAATATTAAAAAAATTTCCTTTTCTTATTTGCAGCAAAAACACAGACAGGAAGAGAAAGCATCCTCCTTCAGATCTTCCTGATGGGTCTGGTCTGGGTGATCACATCCAGTTACTTCAGATCTATGAGCTTTGGGATGAAGTTGACTATAGTATTGACTGGTGTAAAGATAACAACCTACAGGTAGTAGTTGTTCTTTTATTTTTTTGTAAAATTGCATATAGCCATATAGACTAATGATTTGTTTTGTTGAAATTGTTATATTCAGGTACGTGGGATGCTATTTGCTAAAGATGTTCGGAAACAATTGTCGCAAATAATGCAGAAGGTTGCAAAAGGTTAGCAATAGAAACATATTTTCTCAAAATATATGCCTTAACTTTTCAGATTGTATGATGCCAAAATGGACGCATAGTATAATGGAAGTGTGTGTTTGATTATTACTGAAACAGGAGGCTTAGATATAAAAAGAAAGGAAAGAAGGAGAGATAGAGAAGAAAACTATAAGAATCTAAGAAAGGCTTTGTGTGTGGGGTATGCAAGCCAGCTGGCAGAGCGGATGATTCGTCATAACGGTTACCGGACTCTTGGCTTCAAGTCTCAACTTGTCCAGGTAACAACCGACAACAAGAGAGTCGGTAATGACTCATTCCATTCCAACATGATAACGGAGTGGTAATTACCGATTCCATTCCATCTATGATCTATCTGACTCTAACCAAACGGATTTTTGTGTGTTGGTAGGTGCATCCGTCTTCCGTGCTGCGAACAGATGAAGAAGGAATGCTTCCAAATTATGTTGTGTACCATGAACTTATTTCTACTACACGCCCATACATGCGCAATCTGTGTGAAGTAGAGATGCAATGGGTGACCCCAATATTGCAAAAGCTTGAGAAGCTAAATGTCAACAAACTAAGGTACATAAAAGCTTCCATGATGCAACTCAACTTGTTTAGAGCTACATTTATATTCTATACGCACATATATACATACTTGTCATGGCATTGCCTTAGCAACCCCTAACTAGTCTGGGCAGTCAAAAACAAAGGATAGCCCAATGTACTTTCACTATTTAATCTATTTAGCCACTTAACTATTTTGTGAAGTCATTAATCCATTATGCCTTTTTTGACCGTTTAAAAAATCATTTCTTCAGGTTACCAATGGTTTATTTATACAAAAAAATGTAGACTATGGTTAAGTAGCTAAATCGATAAAATGGTGAAAGTATAAGTGCATTTCTGTATTTTACCATACATATATAAATGTATTTGTATCTATATTATTGATATATAAATCTTTGGAGCAGTGGTGGATCGAACCAGTCTGAGGTGGCGAGCACAACCGATGATTTGGGGGGTCCCCAGAAAGAGAAAGAGGTGAAAAATGGTGATGACTCCAATGCTAGAATACAAGCAGCCCGGGACCGCTTTCTAGCCCGGAAAGGAAATAAATAGACAAAAGATTTGACCATCATGTAATAGAGAAAAAAGACAACTGTTAGACAAAATATACACAATCTATGGTTTTTACCCAATTGGTATCTAACTAACTCTTCCAGTATAGTGGTTGTAAGTTGAAAATTTAAATTTCATTTTTTTTTACCCTTATGTTTTGTATAATTGTTATCCCTGCCCTTATGGTTTGAAAGTTTTTTGGTTAATGCAACACATGAAATTAATTGACAACCCCCCCAATCTATCCACTTTGACCTTGTAACGTAGTAAAACCAAGTTTCAAACGTTATACACACAACCTTTTATGCAATAAACTTTGTTTTTTCAATATAACATAAAAAAGTTACTTACACCACTGATTTTATATTCATAAAAAAAACCTTGTTCTAAAAGTTTTCATCATTATTAAAATTATTTATATTGGAAAAAACCTTGTCGCTATAGCTTTAAGATGTTGGTTGAATTTTATATCAATATAATACGAATTTTATGAAGGAAATTGTTTTTGTATCTTAGAAGGACTTGATGGAAATTGGAAAAAGAGTATATGTCCCACTCAGTTTTGGTTTTGTTAGTAAAATCAACAAAATCACCACAAAAGTTGGTTAACGCATTGATGCAAAAGGGTTTCGGGTCAACTGTCAAGGGACTAAAACATAACAAAATAATGTGGAAGGAGCCAATCTAAAAATTTACAGTTCTCGTAATTCCACCCATGGAGATAGCAGAGCAGCAATATGATTTTAGATTCATAACAGAGGGTCAACACAGCCTTCGCTCTCACTCCCTAAACCTCACTACTCTACTACAACGCTCAGTTTCAATCATCGGTGAGACTTCGGATCCTATTTTCAATAAACAGAATCATATAATCACAAATTTTAAACAAATGTAGAATCGCTGGTTGTTTGTTTCAGCTATTGGATTTGTATCTTCGAAATATCTTACAATTCATCATCATCGTAATCTAGGAGTTTCATCCAATTGTTTGATCGATTTTATTGTTTGGGTTTATGCTGACGATTAGTTTTATTTATTTTTTTAATTTTATTTTATGAAATGGAAGACGATGAGGTTGGCGCCGAGGGAGGTGGAGAAATTGATGTTACACAATGCTGGATTTTTAGCGCAGAAGCGTCTTGCTCGTGGATTAAGGCTTAATTACACCGAAGCTGTTGCACTTATTGCCACTCAGGTAGTTGATTTCATTAATTCACTTCGATATTATGTGGCAGTGGATTTGTATCTCTAAGACACCGATGCTATTTTAGAATGAATGTTGGGGAATCATATTGAACAGAGAACAGGGTATTGATAATCAATACCTTGGATATTGAAATTGGATCATGTGAGACACTTCTAATAAATAATATTTCGACCCTCTAATGGTATCACGAAATTTACTCTTAATAATCAGATTCAAGGCAACTTAAAGTTTTGACAAAAACACGACCTCCAATAGCTAAATTCGTGTTGGGCTTGTTAATGCAAATGAATAAACATCAAGAATGACAATTATCCACAGTTGAAAGCAGTTTTCTATACAGGAAAAGAGGCAGAGTTTGACTCATTAGTTGAAGTTAATGGTGGTCCATATCTCCATAAATACCAACATTCTCCTGTTAGTAATAGCAAAATTCTTCTATTTGTAAAGTTAAACACAGTTATGATCCATTTTCAATAAATAAGAAACATCAAAATCTACTTGAAATTTAGACTTAGATCTTTTTCCGAAATGGGAAATGCTGGTTTTTTAGGTCAAAAAGACTAATATTAACTTTGTAATTGCATGATTTGTTTTGATTTTCTTGAAAATAGTTTGATAACAAAGCTAAACCATCCCTATTGTTAGATTTTGGAGTTTGTACATGATGGTGACAAAAGTGTGGCAGAATTGATGGATGTTGGGAGACAGCTTTTAGGAAGGTACATTGTAATATATATATATATATATATATATATATATATATATATATATATATATATATATATATATATATTTGAAAGAGTACATTGTAATATATTTCTCAACAAATAACTTGCTTCTTTTAACACTCAATCTGATATTTGGACACAATTAACAAATCTTACATATATATTTTTGTCATCAGGAGACAAGTTCTTCCAACAGTTCCTCACCTTTTGGATTCTGTCCAGGTCAATAATTCTCATTTGATCTCAAAGCTTCCTCTTGATCAATTTGCATCAACTCTTTTTCATTGATGCTTAAATTATGTTCAGGTAGAGGGAACCTTTCCTGATGGAACAAAGTTAATTACTGTACATGATCCAGTATCTTGTGAAAATGGAAATCTTGAAATGGCTTTACATGGATCTTTTCTTCCAGGTCAGCACTCTGTACTTTCATCTTTTCAGATCCATTTTACTTATCTTGGGTGCCAAATTTGATGATATTTGCAGTTCCTTCACTTGAAAAGTTTCCAAATATAGAAAGTTGTAAGATTCCTGGAGAACTAATCTTCAGACATGGATATATAATGCTTAATTCTGGAAGGGAAGCAGTAGTCCTTAAAGTAACTAACAATGGAGATAGACCAATACAGGTGGCTTCCTACTTTCCTTTTCACATTTCAATATTTTTTCTTACATAGTTACTTAAATAAATACTATTTTTTACAGGTTGGAAGCCATTACCATTTTATCGAGGTCAATCCAAGTTTAATTTTTGATCGAAGAAAAGCATATGGCATGAGACTAAATATACCTGCAGGAACAGCTACCAGATTTGAGGTCAGATACTTAACCTTAAGGCTCTACATTTTATTTAAATTAAAAAAAATATATATGCACTTAAGTTTATTTTTCCAGCCAGGGGATGCAAAATCTGTCACTCTTGTAAAAATTGGTGGCATGCAAGTAATTAGAGGAGGGAATGCAATCGCAGACAGCCCTGTCACTGATTCCAATGTCAATACAGTAATGGAATCAGTACTTGCAAGAGGATTCGGCAATTCTGAAGATACCAATACCAAGTTAAGAAGATATCAAAAGCTGTTTCTTTTGGTATTTCTGTATAAAACTATAAATTGTGTGCTTATTTAATTTGCAGTAATGGTATCATTATAGAAGGATCTCCACTAGCTTACAAAATGGCACGTGAGGCATATGCTAATATGTATGGCCCTACAGTTGGAGACAAAATTCGTCTTGGTGACACCGATTTATTTGCTGAAGTTGAAAAAGATTTTGCAATTTATGGTGATGAGTGTGTGTTTGGTGGTGGAAAGGTGATACGAGATGGAATGGGACAAGCTTCAGGGTATTCCCCATCTGATTGTCTGGACACTGTCATCACAAATGCATTGATAATCGATTACACAGGAATTTACAAAGCAGATATAGGCATTAAAGCCGGTTTGATTTCTTCAATTGGGAAAGCAGGAAATCCGGATTCCATGAATGGTGTCTCTGATAACATGATCATTGGAGTCAGCACAGAAGTGATTGCTGGTGAAGGCAAGATAGTGACAGCTGGCGCCATTGATTGTCATGTGCATTTTATCTGCCCTCAATTGGCATATGAAGCAATATCTAGTGGGATTACAACAATGGTAGGAGGTGGGACGGGGCCCGCTGAAGGGACACGTGCAACCACTTGTACCCCTGGAGCTGTTCACATGAAAACTATGCTGCAAGCCACTGATGACTTACCAATTAACTTTGGATTTACTGGGAAAGTAAGGTTTTTTTAATTTTTATTTCATAGCATATCAGTTTTTATGATGTTACTTAAAAACTTTTTTTTTTTTTTTCAGGGTAATAGTTCTAAACCGGAAGGGCTGCATGAAATAATAAAGGCTGGTGCAATGGGACTGAAGCTTCATGAGGATTGGGGGACTACTCCTGCTGCTATAGATAACTGTTTGTCAGTTGCAGACCAATATGACATCCAGGTTTGTTGTTTACTTCTAACAACTTTTTTAAGTTTCAAAATTTGGTTTTCTTCAGTAAATTAATTTGAATTTTGTTAGGTTAATATCCACACCGACACCTTGAATGAATCTGGATTCGTTGAACACACAATTGCTGCGTTTAAAGATAGAACAATTCACACATACCACAGGTAAGACAGACCTTGTTCCATTCTACTGAAAATTTCCATAAATGCCCTTTTGGTTTCAGTGAAGGTGCAGGTGGTGGTCATGCTCCAGATATTATCAAAGTGTGTGGTGTTAAAAATGTTCTGCCCTCATCAACAAATCCAACACGTCCTTACACTAAGAACACAATAGACGAGCATCTCGATATGCTGGTATATAGGTTCATCATTTTCAAAAAAAAATCATAATAATAAAAGATTATTCATGTATATATATATATTTTTTGTTATATTGTGTGTTCTGAAATTAGTTGGAATGGCACAGATGGTGTGTCATCACCTTGATAAGGACATACCCGAGGATGTAGCTTTTGCTGAGTCACGTATTCGAGCTGAAACAATTGCTGCTGAAGATATTTTGCATGATATGGGAGCAATAAGCATTATATCATCTGATTCACAGGCTATGGGTCGTATTGGGGAGGTAAAGTCATTACTCATTATCATATTTGTTGTTTTATCATTAGTATGTAGATTAACAAGTTGAGCTGTTATTGTACTAGGTAATAAGCAGAACATGGCAAACAGCTCACAAAATGAAGTTACAAAGAGGCGCGATTGAGGGTAACATACAAGAAAATGACAATCTTCGCATTAAAAGGTTTATTGCAAAGTACACGATAAATCCAGCAATCGCTAACGGGTTTTCCGACCATGTTGGGTCGGTTGAGGTGTGTGTAAATCGCAATTAAATGTTTATTTTTCATTCGAGAAATTAAAACATGCATTGTGATGTGAATGAAATTGGTGTTAATTTGTAGGTAGGGAAGTTGGCTGATCTTGTGATTTGGAAGGCATCGTTCTTTGGGGCAAAACCGGAAATGGTGATTAAAGGAGGTGATATTGCTTGGGCTAACATGGGGGATCCAAATGCAAGCATCCCTACTCCTCAACCGGTAAACATATATATATATATATATATATATATATATATATATATATATATATTATATAATATACTAACCTTTTGATTTGATTCATCGTCAGCTGTGTCTAAAAAATAAAAATCCACTTTATAGGATTTGCCACTGCTTCAGTTGAGTCAAAACTCAGAAAATGTAAACTCATTATTTATGAAAAGGGTCATCCAGTTATTAACTCTATCCACATTAATTTGATCATTCTGGATTTCTTTTGTAAATACAGTGTCACTAATGTTTTTATATTTGATGCTCATAATGGTATAATAATTTAATCAATACAATTGAAAAGTAAAAACGTTTAGGGAGTTTTGATGGACAAAAAGCTGTAGGTGGATGAAATTGGATGTTATAGTAAACAAATAAATCAAAGTATAGTACTGATTCATGCATTTAACCTTAAATTGATAGATAAAAAATAATATACAAGTATATAAATATGTATCAATAATAAAATTATCCATTACTAATTAACCAACTTTTTGGTGTCCACATATAACTTTTTTGTTATACCCGATGATACCATTATTGTATTGAATTGAATTGGGCCTGTTACAGGTTATAATGAGGCCCATGTTTGGAGCATTCGGCAAGGCTGGAAGCTCCAACTCCATAGCTTTTGTCAGCCAGGCATGGACATCTCTCTCTCTCTCTCTCTCTCTCACACACACAAATATTTGTATGTGTATATATATATATATATATATATATATATATATATATATATATATATATATATATATATATATATATATGTTAGGAAGAGAAGATGATGTTGGCAGTAATTACAGGCTGCTATGGAGCGAAATATAAAGACTCTTTATCAACTGAATAAGAAGGTGAAAAGCGTGAGTAATGTAAGGAGACTGACAAAGCTGGACATGAAACTCAACGATGCCCTTCCCAACATCCAGGTTGATCCCGAGACATACGCGGTCACTGCTGACGGCGTGCATCTAACATGCACCGCAGCTACATCTGTCCCCCTATCTCGGAATTACTTCCTATTTTAATTTTAATTACCCCTCTTTGTTTTTTTAATAACATATCTTGTTCCTAGTAGCAAATTTAGGTTTTCTAGACCTATTTTCAATGATAAGGTTCAGGAGGGCATTTACGTTTGGAAACCAAAACCACACGAATGAATTGGATTTTGATTTGATGAAAAACATATACTATGTGGCATTCTCATTTGAGTTACCAATATTGCTTTGCAACATTTTGCAGCCATACCAAATTTGTTGGTTCAACATTTGGGTAGTTAGACTCACTTGTTAAAATTATTTATATGCAAGTCATGGACTCAAATCTTCATTCTCAATACGTCGTTATTTATATATATATTCTTATGGAAAAACACTTGTAAGTACTGTCTGTAACGTTCCATGCCCCTTCATCCAATGAAAGGTCACATAAGCATTTATTCACCGACAAATCTACTTTGGATTGTGATATGTTTGTCTTGATAATTTCTCAACATGATTTACAAAAACATATATCATATTTCTGGAAACCTTTGTAATGTTTTACAAAGTTAAAAATATCACAATAATAATATATAATTGTAGCTCGTCCTCACAATGAGAGTCTAGTGGTTGAGGAACGAAATTTCATACAGGAGGTCCATGATTTAAACTTTGGCACACCCAAAATACTACTAGTGCGTCGCGATTGACATCTCACATGATTGAGGATACATCCGATTGTGATCGAGAATCATCTCAATCTATTTGGAACTCAGCATATGTGTAACGGTTTACATATAGCTTTCTTTTTAATACTCCGTAAATCAGGAATATTTCTTCAATTTTCCGTAAGTAATTTAGAATGTTCATATCAATCATCCTATGACTTCGGATTATACTGGTATCTATGAATGAGATATAAATAAATACCTATCAAATCTCTAATATTTTTGCACAACCATTTTACTCTTTATTTCTAAAAAAATTGCTAACATAAGTTTGAGAAATGAAAGATGATCTTGTCTTCATCATCTTCGAGTGAGGGCGACGTAATTTTTTCACAATAATTGTAGAAGCAACACCCCTTATTTTGGCTAATGAAGCTGAAAGTGTTTTTTTTGAAAGAGTAGTAATGAAGCTGAAAGTTTGCATCCAGAAATGAAAAGATCAGCTTTACTCAATCATATCCTACAAGACTAGTTTGTCGAAAATGTCATGTGATTATAATATGTTTAGACGACGGTTCTGGATGAACAGACAATTGTAACGATAGTTCATGATTTGAAGAGAGATGCCACTTTTAGATTAACGTGGGATGCAAGATGTAAGAGACGTTTTACTCAATTACCAAACTGCACATTCACACTTTGTTAAATTAAATACAACATCCTTGACCCATTGGATGAGTATTTAAAGACGTATGAGAAAACTTCTAGGAAAGTAGTTATAACTTTTGTAAAGGTATCATTAGCCTTTACGAAGAACATGTTTTTATGTAAACCAACGTTATTTGATTTTGATACATTAGATTGAAACATATTATTGAATCACCAAGATGTAACCGACATACATACTTTGATTTATTGATCGATTGCGATGTCATTTGATGCAGAATTTTTTACGACGGCCAAAAACCAGTGTACATGATGGTCTTCCTCAACTAAGAACATTAGTTTTCCTTCAAACAATCTTTGATGATTAGGATCAAGATTGAATATATTTTTTTGAACAACTAAATTTTATTAAACCATCAAGGAGCTAACAAACAAACCAATTACAAAAAAACTAGCTAAAAGAGGATTTTAGAGCCACAAACTCCAACTAACCAACACTTTTTTTTTGTTCCTCCTAACAAGAAAAAAAAAACAAAAAACTCCACTACATTATAAAAAAATCTACGTGTACCGGGGGAGAAACGTCGAACACAGCATAAGACCCAAATCACCACACACGTAATATCTTTTAACACTTCCTTTTTAATAGTTTGTACATGTAATTCCTCGATCCAATCAAAACACATCGCTTATCGTTTCCACCAAAGGGACTTCAAAATCTAATCAAGCAAACACCTTCTCCCAAACCAACATCGAAGTGGTACACTTCCATAACACATGATCAATGATCGATGGATATTCCAAGCACACTAGAAACAAAATATTGCCAACTTCAACACCTGTGCAACTAAGATTCCACCTCGTGGAAACCCGATCCATAAAACCCTCCAATGAAAAATATTCAATTTCCTAGGCACCGAGAACATCATCTCATACCCAAATGCTCACCCGAAATAGATATTGAGTCTATATGCCTTTTCATTTCCTTAAATGTGAACGAACCAGATGCGTCTAAATTCCAATCCCACTCATCGCACCCATCAGAGAGACTTATATTAGCAAGCAAATCCATCAAATCATCTAGCTGGCTTTGCAGAACACATCCATGAATCGGCCTAACCCAATCTCAAACCCACAGTTCGCACCACATTTTTTTAACATACCACTCCTTGTTTCGATAAAGATGGTATAACCGAGAATACCTAGTCTTAAATAGAAGCTCTCCCACCCAAACATTAAGCCGAAATCGTTTAGTACTTCCATCTTTCACCATTTTCCTTAGACACGAAAGAGGGATAAGTCCCCGTTCATGCATGAAGTTTATCGAACCAATAATACGAGCCCAAGCATCATCCCTCACTAATCCGAGAGAAATTAAAATTCCTCCCACCCTCTTGGCACACATGAATCGTAGAAATAAACCTGGACAAAAGAGCATCTTCCTCGGTAACATATCATCATCTCCACTTTTGTAACAGAGCAAAATTTAAAGCCTCAAGACTTCCAATACTAATCCCACCTTTGACTTTCGAAGCCACGACTTGATTCCAAGAAATCCATGGGATCTTATGAATACTACCATCCGACCCCCAAAAGAAATTACAATGAACCTGCTCTAACTTCTTCTTAATCCGAACCAACATCCAAAATAGAGAAAGATAATAAGTACCTAACGACCCCAACACTGACCAAAACCGACCTTCCACCGATAAATAACATACTATACTAGCTTTCCAATGAGACAGTCTTTTCTTAAACTTCTCTATAATTGGCTCCCATCCTTTTAGTCCCGACTTACTAGTCCCCACTAGTATACCCAAGTACACAAAATGAAGCTTCTCTCCGACTTACACCCCGTAACAATGGCCACACTTTGAACTTGACAATAATCTATCTCTAACACCAAACAGACTCGATTTGTGAATGTTCACACTTAAGATCAAACACGCAATGAAAGCAAGACAACACACTAACAAAACCCATTACATTATCTCGAGACCACTCCTCATATATAAAGTCTTTGTATGTTGGGATCAACCATACTTTATACTCAAAATATTATAGTGTCTATTACAAGTTAGGAAGAATTTCACATATCTACTATAATAAATGAAGGTTTTTTTTGCCACATGTCCTCTTCTCATTCATTTGGACACATGGCATTTTTTAACATTTTTAAATTTTCTATTTTCCACTTGTCATTTTATTGTATTTTTCATTTTATTAAATTAAAATTCCACATTTAATATGTAAGGTAATAAATATGTAAGGTATTTATTAGAAAGGGTTTATATATGTAATGTATCCAATACATTAAAGTCTCATTAATTTTAATAATTCAAAAGATTTCTCATTTTTTTTATAAATTCAAACTTTTCAAATTGTTAAAATTTTATATTTAATTTTTTTAAATAAACTCATGTAATACATGGGTCTCACACCTAGTGTTAGTCTTAAACATCAAAATGTTATATTTGTACGATTTAATTTTGTACAAATCATATTATCTTTACAAGTGTAATAATAACTAATTAAATTTTAATATTATATCTTTATTATTATGATATTTTTTTTATGTTATACTAGTATATAAATTCTAATGCAACACACAATAACCATGAGTTTTTTTCTTCATAATTTGTCTCTAATCAATATTCTTAATTCATTCTTCTTTGATGAAATCTTAGACAATGACAACTTCAGATTGGGTCCTTCGTGAACCGGCTGAATGATGGTATTTCGTACCAAGAGAAATCTCCAATAAAGTCCTAAAATTTTGGCTCGGTTTACGTTTTAGTCCTAAACTAATTTTTGTTTACGAAAAAGTCCTAAAATCCGGCAAAAGTATGCATTTTGACCGGTTGGAACCGGCAACAAATTAATTTGGGACTATTTCATAAACTAACCTAAAATATTGGGACTATTTCACAAAATGACTTAAAATATTGGGATTTTTTCTGCAAAACAAATATTAGGATTTTTCTGCCAACAAAAACCTTATTATTATTATTATTATTATTATTATTATTATTATTATTATTATTATTATTATTAACAAGTATACTAATTTTTAAATTCATTATTATTAATATATTTAATAATACATATAAATACACTTAAATAAAAATATATTAAAGAAATTATTTAAAGGTGAAGGTGGTGGTGATGATAATGCTTTAAGCATTGAAATCACTACTTGTATGTCCTCACTTTGTATATGATCATTTCACATTTCTTATTATTGTTTTCAATTAAAAATATTAACACTTAACAATTTAAAAGAAGTTGTCTATTTATAAAATTATGTATAAATAGTTTAAGATAAAAGGATTTCTCACTTTGTATATAAAATTTCTTAAAGTAGAATGATTTCTTTTCAAATCCAACAGATCCACAATAAATATTTACATTGGTGGCCCATATCAAAATTCGAAAATATTAATTAAAATATCTTATTTAATAGAAAGTAATATGACTTATTTTACTTTATCACATTATATCTGCTATGTTTCCAAAAAACCACAAGGATAAAGTAATGAAAAAAAGCAACATACATGTTAGTAATTCAAAAATACTTACACACAAGACATACATGCATATCACATGCTCACTATTTGTAAACAATTTGAAAAATCACTAGCTTCTTTTAAATTGTTAAATGTTAATATTCTGAATTAAAAACAATAATAACAAATGTGAAATGACCATATAGAAAATTAGAATATACAAACAGACATTCATGATTACAAAGCTTAAAGCATTACCATCCGCTTAACCTTCACCTTTATAAAATGTATTTAATATTTTTTTAATTTAAATGTATTTATATGTATTATTAATAATATTAATAATAACAAATTTAAAAAATAGTATACTTATTTATATTTTTAATATAATAATAATAAGGTTTTTGTTTGCAGAAAAACCCTAATATTTTTTGTTTTTGCAGAAAAGTCCTAATATTTTGGGTCAATTTATGAAATAATCCTAAATTAATTTGTTACCGGTTCCAACCAGTCAAAAAGGGTCAAAATGCAAACTTTTGCCGGTTTTTGGGACTTTTTCGTAAACAAAAATTAGTTTAGGACTAAAACATAAACCGGGCTAAAATTTTAGGATTTTATTGGAGAT